ATGTATGTGTATGTGCATGTGACCCAGGCATCATGATTTTTGCTCCAATAAAGTTTTGAAACTACCACACTATTGGCGTTCCCCTTTTTTCTTGACTCTCCTGTTGGAGGGTTGCAGATTTACATCTTCCATTCTTGGGGTACCTGGAACCAGAAGGGGGATCCCTGTCTACCTATCATTTGGGGCGAGAGGGTCTCTGGATCTGGAGGTATTGCTACACCCAAGGCGGATGTCAGTGTTTGAGAGGGAGGATCCGTGTGGTTTCTGGAGCTGCATACCTGGCTGGTCTTCTGGATAATATCATACACAGGCGCATTTAAAATGTGCGGTCGGTGAGTGCGCATTTTTGCTATTTTGATTCCAGTCACCTAATGAGGAGAAGGCCTGCACATATTTGGTTTTATTATTGCAAGAAAGACTCTATGAACGAATTTATACTAATTTTATCACATTACAGCGCTGCACTATATATATCTACAATGACTATTGGCCACAGCATTTAAAGTGGATATAAAAAGTTTACACACACCCCTGTTAAAATGTCAGGTTTGTGTGACGTAACAAAAGATAAATAATTTCAGAACTTTTTTCACCTTTATTGTAATCTATAAACTGTACAACTCAGTTGAACAACAAACTGAAATCTTTTAGGTGGAGAAAAGTAGAAATAAAAAAGTAAAATAATATGGTTGCATAAGTGTGCACACCCTTAAACTAATACTTTGTTGAAGCACTTTTTGATTTTATTACAGCACTCAGTCTTTTTGGGTATTAGTCTATCAGCATGGCACATCTTGACTTGACAATATTTGCCCACTCTTTCTTGCAAAAACACTCCAAATCCGTCAGATTGCGAGGGCCCTCTTCAGATCACCCCATAGATTTTCTATCAGATTCAGGTCTGGGCTCTGGCTGAGCAATTCCAAAACTTTAATCTTCTTCTGATGAAACCATTCCTTTGTTGATTTGGATATATGCTTTGGGTTGTTGTCATGCTGAAAGATGAAGTTCCTCTTCATGTTCAGCTTTCTAGCAGAAACCTGAAGGTTTTGTGCCAATATTGACTGGTATTTGGAATTGTTCATAATTCCCTCTACTAAGGCCCCACTTCCAGCTAAAGAAAAACGGCCCCAAAGCATGATGCTGCCACCACCATGCTTCACTGTGTGTATGGTGTTCTTTTGCTGATGTGCAGTGTTGTTTTTGCGCCAAACATATCTTTTGGAATTATGGCCAAAAAGTTCAACCTTGGTTTCATCAGACCATAACACATTTTTCCCACATACTTTTGGGAGACTTCATATGTGTTTTTGCAAAATTTAGCCAGGCTTGGATGCTTTTCTTCGTAAGAAAAGGCTTCCGTCTTGCCACTCTACCCCATAGCCCAGACATATGAAGAATACCGGAGATTGTTGTCACATGTACTACACAGCCAGTGCTTGCCAGATATTCCTGCAGCTCCTTTAATGTTGCTGTAGGCCTCTTGGCAGCCTCCCAGACCAGTTTTCTTCTCGTTGTTTTATAAATTTTGGAGGGACGTCCAGTTCTTGGTAATGTCACTGTTGCACCATATTTTCTCCACTTGAGGATGACTGTTTTCACTGTGTTCCATGGTATATCTAATACCCTGGAAATTCTTTTGTGCCCTTCGCCTGACTGATACCTTTTAACAATGAGATCCCCCTGATGCTTTGGAAGCTCTCTGTGGACCATGGCTTTTGCTGTAGGATGCGACTAAGAAAATGTCAGGAAAGACCTACTGGAACAGCTGAACTTTATTTGGGGTTAATCAGAGGCACTTTAAATGATGGCAGATGTTTACTGACTCCTATTTAACATGATTTTGAATGTGATTGCTTAATTCTGAACACACCTACATCCCCAGTTATAAGAGAGTGTGCACACTTATGCAACCACATTATTTTAGTTTATGTTTACCTCCCCCCTAAAAGATTTCAGTTTGTTTTTTCAATTGAGTTGTACAGTTTATAGGTCACATTAACGGTGGAAAAAGTTCTGAAATGATTTATCTTTGTCTCATTTTTTACATCACAGAAACCTGACATTTTAACAGGGGTGTGTAGACTTTTTATATCCACTGTAGTTGCATAAACCCCTTGAAGTTGATCATTGAGAAGAGGGGTGACATACATTTCATAGCCATCATATTTCAGAGAATACAATGGCAATAGGCCTACAGTTTCTAACACAACCTATTCTTCTGAAGACAATAAGCTGGGTGTCAAAGTGTGAGGTCAGGTTCAGAGACCAATTGCTACAGCAGTTGTAAGGCTTACCTGAAACCAGCAGGATTGGTACACCAGCGTGTCACCCTGGGAATGCCGCAATTAAATGCTGCAATTAAACCATGGCAACATCTAATGTTTGTGTAGTATTATGTTCAACAGACTGTGTTCTTCTATTGTTGTGACTTAGATGACATTCAGAGCACATTTTATGCCCAATTCATGCAAAACTCCACGTAATCCCAAGGGGTTCACATACTTTTTCTTGCAACTGTAAAACAAGCATGCTGTAAGAGAAGTCAGAAATTCTGACCTGCATACTTGTTTCAGGCTAGTGACTGGGAATGTAATTAGCGTGACAGCTAATAAAATACCATTTTAAGAAGGAGGTCAGCAGCGACAGCTTGTAAATTGCTGTTGCGACTTATGTCCTTTAAACTGTACATTATTAGGAGCTACTGTTACCTATTTGTTTTACAGTTGAGCTCCAGGGTCAAGAAGTCTTTACCCTTGCAGTGGGTCACCTTTACAATGGTCAACTATTTGTTTTGCTTAGGAAATGATAAGTAAAGTAATGTACTTACCTTAATACTCGCTCCTCCCACAGATGGTGCTTTACTTTGCTGTTTGACATTCCCAGGTTGAATTTGGGCCCTCAGCATCCTCCCATACAAAGCAGGATTGCTGATCCTGCATTGTACGGGATGGCATCAGAGTGCTGAAAATGGCCAGGCAGCAGAGGCTGCAGGGGAAGGTAGCATGAAGAGGAGGAATCCCTAGGGAGCGAGAAATACATAATTTTTTTCATCATTAAAAGAACAATTTCAAAACAATGCCAAAATAGATTCTATATACAGTTGTGTTGAAATGGGTGTTCCAACAAGACAACGACCCCAAACACACCAGTAAATGTGCAATATCTTGGTTCCAGACCAACAAGATTGACGTTATGGAGTGGCCAGCCCAATCCCCTGATCTTAATCCAATGGAAAACTTGTGGGGTGACATCAAAAATGTAGTTTCTGAGGCAAAACCAAGAAATAGAGAAGAACTGTGGAATGTATTCCAATCATCCTTGGCTGGAATACCTGTTCACAGGTGCCAGAAGTTGGTTGACTCCATGCAACACAGATGTACAGCAGTTCTCAGAAACAGTGCTTATACAACTAAATATAATTAATTGATTCAAAGGAAAGCAAAATCTTCAAACATTTTTCAGTTTATATAGTGAATGTTTGAGTTTGTAAAGAAGAATACAAACACTGCTATTTTTTTGAACAGTCTAATATTCACTTTTCTTCAATTTTGTTAGAGGAACAACACAATTTTGATATATTTTTCTTCATGTTTTGATTTGGAATAGAATGTGTAGTGTTCCCAATGTATTTGTGTGTATGGAAATAAAAGCTATTAGAAGGATTTTGAGCTTTATTCACTTTTTTCAACACACTGCTATTATTTTGAACACAACTGTACGTATTGAAATTTTGCCTGTTTACAAATAGAGAAAAGTAGAGTATCAGCTGCTCACCCCCAATATACTAAATTCAAGAGAAAATTACCCCATTGGGACTTTAATGAAGCTAACAAAAATGTCACACATATGTTTATATATAAAAAATGGTATACTTTATTTTACAAACTTTTTTCTAAAAGACTCATTACATAATAAAATCAAACTAGCAGCTCTGACACAATTTCTGCCACATATTCCCCTCTATAGGGTGAGAAAACAAGTTAGTACACAAAATATTCTTCAATTGGTCCAACGCGTTTCAATCATTCCAATCCAAGATCTTCTTCAGGGACAAGAAAAGAGGGGGATCTCTAAACGAACATATTCAAAATAATAAATCATTGTAATTTCATCAACAATAGTTATATATTCTCCATTATGATACTTACAAACCATCAATTGAACAACTAGCATGTATCAGAGCAATCCTAAAAACAATGGCGTTCACCACAGAATTGCGTACTCTGATACATACTAGCTGTTGAATTGATATTTTTTTATTTTTATCTTTTTCTTTATTTTTTTTTAAGATCAACCCTTATTATTAATATCTCCCCATACACAATGTATCGCCTTCACTTGTGAGACTACAGTGTCTCTACCAGTCCTACAGCCAGTGGTTACACCCTGTTTACAGTATATCTCTTTTCAGAGAAATACTGGTCAACCTGAGACTATAATCTCATGAGACTCTGACTTATCAAGTAGTAACCGCACATTTCCTCTCCCAGTGACTCAGCCCCTACAATCTGTGAGGCCCATCGCTCTTTAGGGATATCAGTCTTATCAGACAGGAACAGTAATGCAGTATGCCCTCTGTTGGGCAAAGTATGACATGATATTGTAAAACAAATGTCTTTTTTTTAAGGACAAAGGCAGGGACAAAGTGAATCTAAATCAGTAAATTGATATATAAGTAGCTGATAACATACTGTATACAGTTTGTACGCAGCTCAGAAAGGGCACAATAGAAAGCAATGATTTTTTTGTCCTGCAGTGCAGGACATGAGTATAGGGCTTTAAGAGAGATTGCATTCTTTTTTTCACATCAGCACCCAGTGCGACACTACCGCTGTCAGCCTGATTTTACAATTCAGATACTTTACAAACAATGCTGAACACGTGGCACTGCAAAGCAGATTTTCTAAGCTCTTCCTACAATAAAAGATGATTTTACAATGCTATTAGATCATCATTACTGAAGTTTGATTCTTTATCAGCATATTTGTTTCCCTTAGATATGTGAGTTGCATAAACCCTGTGAGATTGATCCAGTAAAACTGAAGGATGGAGAAAATTTAGAAACAAACAAGGTAAGCAAACTCTTACTATATTCATATATTTTCAAATTTATTTTTGTTTAAGTAGTCTCAGAATTGTTGTACCTGATCACCTAGTTATCACTGAAAATGTGGTGTATGTATTCATACATTGCAACATTGGACTTCCAGCACATTTTTCAACCTGTGTAAACTGATTCAAAGTGAAAAATCTCACTTTCATAGACTATTGGTAATGTTTATAGTATAAATAATTAAGTTACAGAGCCCTTTCTCCCATGGACAAGATTTTTTTTATGTGTCAGCTTCTCACCATACAACGTTTTCCATTTAAAGATGAAGTATAATCTGCTTATATTTTTCCCCTGGTTCCTCTCTTGCCCCCCCCTATTAACATGCCAATTAAATTTTAAATAAAGTTTAAATAAAATGTTTTTTCATTTCATACCTTATTATTTTGAACTTTAGACCCTGTGATGTCATCCCAGGGTCTCTGTTCTTTTCTATGTAGTGCAAGCAGATCTTGGCTGTTGGGAGGGACCAGCAGGATGCTGTACATAGATAACATCCTGAAAACATCACAGCATCCTGTCTCAGTACTCCTCTTAAGAGCCCTCAGCTCTGAGACAAGCAGTGGTCTGGCTCTTGGGAGCAGGTATGCAATAATTAAAATGTAATCAAAATGTCTTGATGTGTGGATATCAGTCTAGAGAAGTGGGCATTTCTAGGCAGGCTGCTTTTGTATGGAGACTGCCCTAGATAACACCCATATGTGAATATGAGCCTCTGAAAGAACTGAAATTTAATGAATGAAACGGATGGGCCAGGGACAGTAAGTTGAAAAGCGCTAGATGATGATGGATGTCCTCCAGCCAGGCAATGAGGTGGGTTCTATCTACCTTGCTGCAATTTCTAATGTACACTGTGAGAAACTCATAGTATGCAGTGAAATCAAGACATTTTGGTAAGGGAGAGGAACCTATACTCCTGTGCAAGACTGAAGGAAATGTTTTAAATATATTCTAATATATAATAATACTTTAAAGTGGTTGTAAAGGCTCAGTGTTTTTCACCTTCATGCATCCTATGCATGAAGGTAAAAAAAACCTTTTGTGTGTAGCAGCCCCCCCAATAACTACTGGATCCCCACCTTGATCCAGCGATGTGCACAAGAACCTACTGTCAATCACAGCCAGTAATCCAATCAGGTTGTGTCTGTGTGTGAGTGGGCACACAGAGCAGAAGCTTGTGAGCGAGCCTGCTGGGGTGCCCCTATAGCAAGCTGCTTGCTGTGGGGCTCTTGGCAGGAGGGAGGGGCCAGGAGGGGGGCCCGAGAAGAGGAGAAGGGCTGCTGTGTGCAAAACCATTGCAGAGCATGTGAGTATGAAATGTTTCTTATTTATGTAGCACTACTGCCTTAGGAGTCACTGAAGACTTGAGTCCCCTTATAGTTCTGCACAGCCAGGCAACACTCTTTTTCTTCAGACCTTGCACACAGGAGACAGTAAACAGTCCTTGAACTTGTTTTTTTGGATTTTATTAAGGAGTATTGAACTTAGATGGGGTTGAGGGGTGTATGGGATGCCCAGGGGAACTGTGAACTAAGGACAAACTCCTTATCAACTATAAACAAGTCCTGTTGACAAAAATTATCTTCTTGGAGAGCTCTCCAGTCCTCCTCGTGTACCACATCAGACCACAGATGAAATATCTCCTTTTCATCCAACTGCCTGAAGGTAAACCTTGGGCAAGGGGACCTAAAATATGCCACTTAAAAATCAGCAGTTTCAAATGGGGACTAGTCATGTTTCCAGCCAGAATGTCCTCTCCCCTTATCTGGCCTAGGATGTGTGAGATTACTCACCCAGGCCTCTCCTGTAAGCTTATGGGTTGGTTGCTGCCCTCAGGCTTTACACTGGGCTGGCTCTTTCCTTGCTTCGCAGGCTGCCTTCTCGGGACTGTTGAGGCTGAGAGAACCTCCCATTCAGCTCCTCTGCCTGAGGTCCCTCCCTGGGCCCCTTCCCAAGCCCCATGCTCCATCCTTCTCACTCCATCTTCCACCCAAACTTTCCTGCTGCTGAGCAGGCTCTAGCACACTTAAAGGCTACCCTGGCCCCATACCAAGCCTCCTACCTGGGGATTGGCCAGGATCCCTTAAGTGTGCAGGCCAGCCCCTCCCCTCCACCCACTGCTTCTAGAATCTTCTCCAAGATCCGAGAGCAGGGGGAGGTATCAGGGAACTGACCTGCTGAGCCTCTCAGCTCTAACCTAAAATAACCCTTTGACTCAGCCCAGGCTGCTATTCAGCCTTTCTAACCAAAAACCTAATCTAGCTCCCCCTAGCTACCTTGGAGGGTGCTACATTTAAAAAAAAAACAGAGCCTTTACAATCACTTTCATTTGGTAGCAGATTTTAAAAACATATATTTTTATTTTATTGGTTTTAAGGAATCACAACAAATATACTTTTTTCTGCATTTTTTCCCAGAACAACTTAACTAGTACTGCCCCCCAAGAAGTCAAGATTCACCTTTCAGTTTGGAGAGTTTTTTTCCTGTCAGACATTACTTCGTGATATACACTGGAAAAAATATGTTTGCATAAATTCAGTTCATAGATTACAATTAAAATAAGTTTCTATAGTCAGGAACTAGCATGACAACACCATTTTCTCACGCTGCATGCCGTTGTGCCTACTGCCTAATATAAACCAAAATTTCAACAGAGAGAATAGGGCCTTCTTGTCTTAAAGTCAGACAGGGAATATCAGAGGCACCATTGGACTACATAGGAAATGTTAGAATGTAATGTAACCTTGCAGCATCTACTAAACCTGTAATATCAGTTTTAAGTGGACTAAACTTTTAACTACTTCAGCACTTTGTCTTGTCACTTGGAACTTTCAGAGGTGCATTGAGTGACACTGTACCTGAAGAAAAAGTTGTCTTCCATAAATAAGCTATTAATGACATTAACAAATATGTATCTTGAAGTACCATTTAGGATTTCTAACATTGCATTAGTATTTGTTGCAATAATATTGCAGAGGCTTATTTCAGAGGCTGACTACATACCTTTCCCTGATTACTTGATTACAGATATATCTTACATACATTTAGTTGCCACATTGGAATAGATAGATAGATAGATAGATAGATAGATAGATAGATACTACTACTATTCTTGGGGTTTATTCACACCTACACATCATCAACATCTCACCTCTGCACATTAATGCACATTGCAGTGCCATTCATTTTCAATTGCACACTACCCCAACACTCATTCAAAGCAAATGTCTTGCAGTGCACAGTAGCCCACTTCTATGCATGTTAAAAATGAGTAATTCTACTTGGCTGCTATGAACATAGTTGGGGTACCCTGTTGCATGCCCTTAGGTTGTGATGCTATCACAAGTGCTTCCTTAAAGGGATTTTTCTGACTCATAGTTTAAGGTCCCTTTCACACAGGCCATCCGATAAAGAAAAAAGCTGATAGGTGGACCTGATCAGATAGTTCATGTATTCCTAAAGACCAGCGGGTGTAAACAGACTTGTGTTTGTTTATACCCACCTACCTCCAATCTGATCTGCTGAAGGAAGGGTGTTCTGTCTCCCTCCCTCTAGGTGGATCGATCAGAGGATAGTTGGATGTTCTCAGACAGCTTGTCCATTTACACCCGGCTGTCCATAGTGCAGAGTGGGCTCTGCCCATGTCCACTCGGCAGAAACTGAGCCGACACAGACTTGTCATCTGCCTGCTCTACTCTGATCAGCAGGGAATCAGTGGACAGATCCCCCACTGAGCAAATCAGAATCCGTCCTGTGTGAAAGGGGCCTAAGGGCTCTTTCACACAGGCACACAGATCCATACACTCATGCGGAGGGTCTTGTTTATCCACCCTGGAGGTACAGGTTGGCTGGACAGTGCGTGCAGCCAGCCTGTTAAAATCAATGTCAGGCTAATGGTTGCACAGATCTTAATGCACATCCTTGCATGCACACAGATACAGGACTAATGCATGTTTCTGAATGCTGTCTGTGTTCAGAGCCATGCATCAGCCCTGATGTACACGTAAAGATGTGTGTGAAGATTTGTGCAGCCGCCAACTTGTCATTGATCTGTACCGGTATATGACCCCATGTATATGAGGCCTAAATTGGGATAATTGATTTGAACAGCACTTTTTCAATAGAAGTAAAGACTAGACAACTCACTTAACCACACTGCAGTATTTGGTTTTGTGGCAGCACCACACGTAGAACACAGTGGCAGTATTGCTAAGGCACTCCTAAGGCCATACAAATTGTTTCTTGGTTTGTTTCGGAGCTTGTGATGATCTTATAAACATATGTTCCCTAGTATTAGTTAGTTCAACTGGACTTGTTTAGTAATGTTGAGTCGGCATCTGTGGTTAAAGCGTAGGTGGTTCTTGCTAATTTTCTTATATTCCATGCCAGTTTCCAGTTTCTGTGTGTACTTCCCGGAATGATTGGCAATGTATATGTGAAGGTTTTATTTATACTGAATTGGGTAGAGCTAGCAGTAGTTGAACCTTACAAGACTAGTTGTATGCGACCAGTTCAATACTGGCTAGGACACTATCTGGATGACGTTTGCATGTTCCTCCTGTGTTTCCATGGGTTTCCTCCACACTCCAAAGACATATCTAAAGGTTAATTGGCAATTGTCTAACTTGGCTCTAGTATGTGGGTGTATTTGTGTATGCAAGTGTGATAAGAACCTTGGATTTTAAGTTCCCGGAGGGCAGAGACTGATGTGAACATACAGTATGTTAATGCCTGTAGTAATGATACTATCTTCTCCTAGAACTAAAATTGGTTCAATCTTTATTTTGCAAATAGTTACTTGCATTTTACATCAGGAATTTGTCCATATTTATTTCGATAACAATCTCAGCAGATTTTCATTATGCATTAAATACCAACAGTATACACAGTTTACTATACTTCAGTTATGGATGAACACAGTGAGTGATGGGTACCGATCACTCATTATGTTCATTCAGGAAAGGAAGGGGCTAGTAAATGTGAATATTTGCAGGGCCCTTCCCACACTCTCCATCCTGAAGGAACGTATGATTGTGTGCTTGCAACTGCCGGTGACAAGGAGAGGAGGGAAGCTGGCAGCACTGCAGCAGTGGGGGGACTGGGCAGCAGAGGGAAATGTATGGTGCACAGGGCGGGTGATGGGTGCAGCAGGGGGGCAATTACTGGAACCGATCCCCTGTATGTGTATGGCTCTCTCTGCAGCAGCTGAAAGCCAGCGAGGAGGAGAGGAGAAGTAATCCGCTTTCAGCTGGTGCAGTGAGAGCCATACAGGGGATCAGTTCCAGTAATCCCCCCGTGTGTGCCGTGCTGATCACCTTCCCTGTCCACATTCGATCCACTCACCTGCATGGGCCCCCCTGTTGGCCTAGGCCCCATACAGGAGGACTGATGGTACCCCCTTATCCATGGCCTTGCCTATATCTGTCTACATCTTAATAAGATGAAAACAGAAAAAAGTGTTCACTTGTGCCTTCTCCCCTGTGTACTCAGGAGATGTCTAATAAGTCATTATGCCCAAATTTCCTGGGAGGCGGGCTGCAAAGTCCCATCCTAATATACAGTATGCAAGTGAGGTTACCCTCTGGACTTAATTTTGTTTCATTTATATAAGCACACATTTTTCTGTGGCCTTTCTTCTTCCCAGGAATGTTCCCTGGGCAATGTCTCCTGTTATTTTTGTTTGTTGTACCTGTGCATTGATGTTTAGGGAGCATGGAGAAGGTGTGGTAGGGCAAGGCTTTGATAAATTATTATTTCCTGTCCACTAATTGGGCAGCATTATCTCTGAGGTTAAGGTTGTCATTAGCAGTACTAGATGTACTAGTAATTCCTCTTCCAGGAATCATTCAATAATCAAGAGGAACTTTACCCATAACAGTGTGATTACAATTAATGTTTAACAAAAGAACATATGTTCTACACTAATAATTATGCTACTAAAATTAGTGTGTAATGTAAATTACCTCCAGTATTACTCCTGTTTCTTATTGTGGGAGGCTGCCATTTTGTTGAAGCCCAGAGCAGTTTTGGCTTTTAGTGACTCACTGATTACAGGACAACTGAGCATGTGCATAGTAGGGTGAGACAATGCCTTACTGGATTTTAAACAATATAGGCACTTATTTTTAATGTTTTACATACCAGCAAAAGGAGCCATCATGAAGTTATGTATAAGGACTTATTTTTTGACTAAAGTTCTACTTTACTGTTAGATTAAGGCAATTCCCACCACAGGTGACAACTATTGTGCTGTAAATGATTTCATTGAAAAAGTTCAAATGATTCACTCCCACAAACTAGATGAACACACCACCCCTTCCCCTTGCAGACCATATTCCAGGCCAAATTGGCACCTTAGTGATTCCTTACCCACCTCAGAAGACTCCTTACTGAAAATACAAATGTCTGTTGCAAACTATTTCTAATCTAACAAAGACTCTTATCTCATTGTTAATCCCTCTGCTGAGCACACAAGTCCACCATCAGAGGTGAAATCATAAGCTTAGCAGCCTCCCTTAAAGGGGTTCTAAAGGCTCAAGGTTTTTTACCTTCATGCATGTAAAAATCCTTCTGTGTGCAGCAGTAACCCCCAGCCCCCACCCTAATACTTACCTGAAACCCATCACGATCCAGTGATGTGCATGAGAGCCTCGGTTCCCATTGGTTGAGACAGCAGCGGGAGATTTTGGCTCCCGCTACTGTCAAGTCACAGCCAGTGAACCAATGAGGAAAGAGGGGCCAGGCCGGGTCATGGCTCTGTGTGTGAATGGACACACAGAACAATGGCTCGGAAGCAAGCCTGCTCGGATGCCCCCATAGCAAGCTGTTTGCTATGGGAGCACTTGGCAGGGAGGAGGGGCAAGGAGTGCTGCCAGGAGACCAGAGAAAAGGAGGATCAAGGGGAACAACTCTTCCCAAGCATGTGTGCCATTTTGGTTTGTCAGTCAAAGCTGGGTAGAGATGGTAATGGTTGAGAGAGAAGAGAAATATTACCTTTATAGAGTGATGTGCCCATCTATGACCAACCATAGTTCTGAAAGAGCCAGCTGGCTTTAAAGAAACTTCTAATGAGAAAGTTTGAACTTCCTCATCCTCATGCTGACTTCCTCATCTAAAAATGCTAGCCTCCTGCTGTCAATGGGTTTAGTACTTTCTGAATCAATGAACTGGAACGAGTAAATGGATTAGAAGTTCTGACTTTCCTGATCTGCATACTGGATCTGGATTGGTGTCTCAGAAAGTATGTTATCCAGACTCAGCCTGGCAACTAGCATTTTCATCGGAGGGGGACAGAACTGTATAAGCCTACATATTTCTCCAAGTGTAGCTTTTTTCACTTTTTACACCAGCATAATTATTATTCTCCTTTGGGTTTATATAGGAAAACTTGAAGAATTACGTTGACCAGATCTTTAACGTCATTACAAAATCAGGAGTAAGCTGCCCTACTGTCATGTGTGACATTTTCTTCTCTCTGAGAGAATCTGCAGCAAAACGCTTTCAAGGTAAGCAGACATCAAACTTCTTGTACAATGCTGTATGTTGAAAGAATGTAAAGAAGGCAGAATACGTAGGAAGCTCATCTGGCATGTCTTCCTTCCTGCAAGCTATGTGTGAGACCAAGAATTTGCTGTGATTAGTGCATTTCATAAATACGGCGAAGCATGAGAAGTTCACATACTATGATAGATTTTACGCACTGCTGGGCTTCTGGCCTGCTTTGAGCTCATTTCACCATGTTTCCCAAGTCCTTTTTATCAGAATGCCAATAAACTCACTGGAGTGCTTCATCCAGCAAGATTAAAACCCTTCTCACATCTTCTCAGCAGTGACAAGCCTAAACCAAGTCTGCCTCTGTCCAGACTGTGTGTTTCTACCTTACCAGGCAAATTCTTTGTGGTGAAATCAAGGAAAAGGCACAGGAACAGCCCAGTGTGTACAGTCTTGAGAGTCTCCTTGGAATCATGGAAAATAAAAACCTCTTTGTAAATCTTTAGCATCATCCAGCTGTTTAAAAGTGCAGACTCACTGGGAAATGGTTGTTGTCTTTGTAATAGAACCAAGGAACTCAGATCGGTCACATGCTGAGAGATGTGTAAGAAATTCACTGTTAACTGCACACATGCCGGCCTTTGTAAATTTCAAAGATATACACTACAAGTACTTAAAATGTTTCTTGTATCTTTATTATGTAGTGTACAGCTCTGTATTTAACCTCCCTGGCGGTATTCCCGAGTGTAGCTCGGGGTAAAGTTTCAGTACCACAAGCGGTAACCCTGAGCTACACTCGGGCTTACCATGCAGCGCTGCTCCGGGATCCCTCAATCACTTACCTTGTCCTGCGCTCCCGCGATGTCCCTCCTGCAGTGTCCCCTGTAATGTCCTCCGGCGGATGCCGGCATCTGTCATCTGGGTTCCGTCCCCTGCGACATCGGGACGTACGGGGATGGAACTGGCGGGAAATTTGAAAATTACAAAAAGTGACATTCACTAAGTTCACTAAAATCACATAGTAAAACATTACTGTATCAAACCATTTTACATACATTTTGTCCCTAGTGCTTTGTCCTGTGCCCTGTCTGCATTTTTACCGTTCTTTCTGCCTGGAAACTGAGAAACATCCATGGCATCCAAAAAGCGTCCCTTTAGGTCAAAATCGGTTTTAGACCAGCTAGAGAACAGCGATAGTAAATTAGAACCACTTGCAGAATTGAGTGATAATGATTTGTGGGGAAATTCGTCATCAGACACTGAAAACGATTTTGCGACTAAGCTCAGTGATGTGCAAACTTGGCACTATATTTCAAATTTCAGTGTTTTTGGTTTGATTATATTTTTGAATTAAATTTATTATTATTATTATTATTATTATTATTTTTATGATTATTTATTAAATTATAATTTATGATTTTGTGTTTCAAATTTTAACATACCCAGGATGTTTACTAGACTCTTGTTCGGACAGATTTCAGTGAGTTATTCCTAAAAATTACAGGCCTACAATGAAAAAAAATACATATTTCCATGCACAAAAATGTACCGCTTTGAGCACAGAAATATGGATATAATCAGACCGCTAGGGAAGTTAAACTTTTTTTGTGGTTAAATAGTTTATTAAAATGAAAGCTATATTCCAAACAGTATATTTTCAAGATTGCTAAATGATGGGTTTGATTTACTAAAGGCAAATGTGCACTGTACACTTTGCAAGTGTAGTTGAACGCCTTTTTCCCCAGAGCTTATTGAATGCGGTGAAGCTCTGCTGATTTCCATCATCCAATCATGTGCAAACAAAAAATGCTGTTTTTTTTAATCTTCATGCACCATTCTTTAACTACCTGCCAACCGCGCTATAGCCGAATGACGGCTACAGCATGGTTGTCCAGTTCTGGGAGGGCGTAATATGACATCTTCCCAGAACACGCCATCCCGCACACCCCCCAGGGGGTGCACACCCAGCAAATTCCGTGATCGCTGTGTCCTACAGACACAGCTGATCACGTGAAGTGGTAAAAGGCCAATCACAGCGGCATTTTACCACGTGATCAGCTGTGTCCAATGACACAGCAGATCCCCGGGTAAATGCAGTTGCCTGTTATCAGCTGCACTTTCCTCATGCTGTCACAGCGTGAGGAAAGTACTGCCGATAACCGGCAATTGTCAGAGGACGGATTGGCACCGATCATCAGGGCACTGATGATCAGTGCCCAGCAGTGTCACCCACCAGTGCCGCCCACCAGTGCCCAGCAGTTCTGCCCACAAGTGCCCAGCAGTGCCACCCACCTGTGCCCATCAGTGCCACCCACCTGTGCCCATCAGTGCCACCCACCTGTGCCCAGCAGTGCCCCCCGTCAGTGGCACCTATCAGTGCTGCCCAACAGTGCCATCCATCATGCCCAGCAGTGCTGCCAGTCAGTGCCCAGTCAGTACCTGCACTCAATGCCACCCATCAGTGCTTCCCATTAGTGCCGCCTATCAGTGCCCAAACGTGCAGCATCATCAGTGCCAGCTCATCAGTGCCACCTATCAGTGCTGCCTATCAGTGCCCATCAGTGCTGACTATCCGTGCCACCTCATCAGTGCCTATTTGCAAAATGTTATAATAGAAACAAAGAAAAACTTTTTTTATTACAAATTTTTTGCTTTTTTTGTTTATAGTGCAAAAAATAAAACACCCAGCGGCAATTAAATATTACCAAAAGACAGCTCTATTTGTGTGAAAAAAATGATAAAAAAATTCATATGGGTACAGTGTTGCATGACCGCGCAATTGTCTTTCAAAGTGCAACAGCGCTGAAGGCTGAAAATTGGCCTGTGCAGGAAGAGGGTATAAGTGCCTGGTAGGCAAGTGTTTAAAAAGTGAAGCTTCATCACATACATGAAAGAGTTACTAAACCCAGGACCCTGCATTCACTATATCTGGTCTCCCACAGTACACAGAACATTGAAATGCAATTAAGTGTAAATATAAACTGCTAATACCTTTTCTCATCAGCAGTTAGAGCAGTCTTGTGGCTTCTATCAGTGTTCAGCAGAGCACATGTTTAAGCTTGTAGGAGGAGTTTTCATTTTGCTCCAGGAAGATGCAGAACCCCTGACCTCTGTCTGGACAATGTTGATTGGCCATGTGCTGATCACATGCACTCTCCCAAGGAAAAGAAAGAAAACCTCTGTAGCAATACACGCCAAACTGAGCATGTGCCGAGTGACTCCACATGATATGTCTTATCCGGAGATAAGAGGGGGTCACTGGTATAAGGGGAGAATCAAAAGTCAGGATCAAACAGCCTTTTTACACAATGCAGAGGATTAACCCCTTAGGTTCCACAGTGAGTATAACAAACATGCTTTACTGCATATACAGACTGATTTTACTGGGTTGGGTTTATTAACACTTTAAGCTGTGGGGAAAATGAGTGCAACTGCAATTTGCAAAGTGCACAGTTTATTTACCTTCAGTAAATCAACCCTTTATGTCTTAAGTAGCTGATAAATAGCTATACTGCACCCTAGTTTGCTGTCCTTCTTGAATAAATGGACCTGTGTTTACCACTTTAAATGCTGATTAGCAGTACTGTGAGCGGTGCCAGCACTTTCATTAGCTGAGGTTGACTGCTGCGGAAGTTAGAGACCAGCAGTGGTCATGCACTCATCCAAAGACCCTAACACTTTGCTTTTTTTTTTGCACCAGCACTCTATATTTTTATGTCTAATTAAAGCGTGTAGCATTGTTTTTCATGCAGTTGAAATTAAAGTGGAATTGCTGTCAAATACTACTCTTAAAAATGCTCCCTCGTCCTTCATAACACCTATTTTGACTGACGTGGAAGAAAAAAATCTGTATGCTTGCTTATTTTCAGTCCATTCTGGTTCGGTCACATGATCGGTTCTCCTCTGTCAGTCAGTGCCAGCTGCAGGGGAGAAGAGGGAGTGCTGACAGTGGATGGGCCATAATAAGCCTACGGGTCACCACTCAGGCATTACCAGCCGTTGTTGAGTACTCGTTCTATTCCCCTGGAGCTGCCACTGTCTGACACAGGGGTGATCAAGTTAGGTTGTGACTGGAATTCTACTTTGAAGTGGTTGTAAACCTCAGACAAGAAATATGAATAAAGCATATCCCTCTATAGTGTGTACTTGTCTCAGTTGAAAGCATTAAGTGTCATTTCTGTCTGCTGCTTTGTTCCTCTGTTATCAGCATGAACCACTTCTGACAAGTTTTTCTGAAACTCAGAGGTAAAAAGATGACAGGGAAGAGAGCTCCAGTGCACAGTCTGTGAATGACAGCCTCAGCTCTGTTCCTGTGTGCTGTGTGCAAGGGGGTGCATTTAGCTCTCATATCTCATCACTGAGATCGCAGAATGTAACTTCAGCTCCCCACCACCTGCTTTCTGAAAGCTCAGACAAATTGTATAAATTCTGGACTTTGAATGTCTGTAGAGAAGAGAAGATTGCAGATAAACTGGTACAACTCATGTAGGAGGATTGGTTTTGTCTGTGTATCAGCTGAGGCCAATCGCATCACTAGGTATATGTAAGGGTTTAGGAGACAGTTGTGTAGCTTGACTCTGTGTTCTGAGTTACAATTTGAAGTTTGTTTTTAACCTCTTCGTGTAGAGCGTACACATTTATGCGGCCTCTCGGCAAGTGGGCCTTGCTGTCGAGAGTCCGCATAAATACGTACCAAAATGTAAACAAACCTGTACTGAGAGTGCGTGTCCTGCACACTCCCGACACAGTTACCAGCTCCTAACTGAAAGCTTTCTGATTGTGTGACCGCTGTGACAGCCAGTCAATGGTCATGGTCACATGATCATAAACACCACCTCCTGGCATCAGAAAACCCTTAAAGGGCTGGGAGGCGCCTGTGTTAAGTGGTTAAGTCACAAGTAAGAAATAAAACAAATTTTACATTGCAAATGCCAGTGTATGTAAACAGATTTGTTGGGCCAGCCCCTGCTATGGGATCGTTCTTTTTTAAAAAATAACTATTTAGCAATGAACTTTTAAAAACCTGAATCTGCAGTATTGAAACAACATAATATTGCAGCATTACCTGCCAAGCAGAACTCAAGTTTTAATGTTTTAATATTTTTTATCTTTTTAATTAAATATCTACCGTACTTGTATTCTCTCCCTGACATAGCGGCAGTGGCAGGCTAAATATTAGACTATGCGCCTGCCTGAGCTCAGTGCTGATAATAACTGAAAAAAAATGAAATAATGGTCCTGTAAGAATTACTTGAATGAAAGTGGCCCTGTCACCTCTGATTCACTTTTACTCATATCACCACCTGTAAAAGAAGAAGTAATATACTTACCTTTCTGGCGGTCAGTGTATTGAAAAGCACCCTGGACAGAGCATCAGTTATAATTTCAGAGTTCAAGAGACAGGACAGCCTCCCCAAGGGTTGACTTTCTGCTCTGCAAGGAAGAGAATAAAACAGTATCAGCGCACACAGCTATTCCTGCAAAACAATAACAGATTAGGAATGAAAGTTAGCTGCTTTGTGTATGTGGCTATAACAAGTCTTCTATACATTTTCTGTACATAGATTTGTATACTTATCAGCTGCTTATCATTTTTTAAAAATGTTTAGATATCTTGCGAGCCAAATCAGATACCCACCCTATCGCACAAAACTGGACAAAATATGTCCTTAATATACTAGGATCGCAAACACCTAACACATAACTACCACTGTGTGTAACTTATATCACCATATTGTGTTGCGCTCCCTAAAAATTATATATGATCACTTATCCATGCCCAATCCATATGACCATATATAGACAAGTGAAAAAATATAACTAAACATACATTAAATCCTTTACCCAAAATTCATGTATATAAATCACTTAATTTACTTAAAAAACAGAATAATTCATAATATTAATGTATATCCGTGATTATAAAATTGCTAAATCAATAATACATCATTTTTAGTGAAAAAAAAAAATATATATATAAATCTCAAATAAAATTATTTTAAATAAATATACATATATACTTAATTAATATTGTGTAGAAACAGTGTCCCATATAACATAAAAATAGTGACTTAGTGCTTTAATTAATCTTCAATCCGTGATTGCATATGAATCCGTCAAAACCCCCTGATGAACATCTTTGGATGTTGGTGCATCATCATAACATTTATAGTAGTGTGAATTGCAGAATTGCAATAAAAGATTCACATTTTGGCTCATATAATCCTTAAACCTTGCTGTAATTCTGCACACCCTTCTGAATGCTGTACCATTATAAAGAAAATGTTTTTTATTAGACTTTCCTTTAGTTACGTATGTATTACAGATGTGATTGAGCCACAGAGTCCATGCCAATGTGCATACTATATGTATCCAGATATACATTATGTGTGGTATAGCTGCAATGGCTTTGTTGATCTCACATTTAATTAATGTTGCAATGGCTTTGTTGAAAATCTCACACATTTAATTAATGTTCTCTCACTTGATATTTGTGTATTGTCTGTCTCAGGTGACCCTGATGTAAGATACACCGCTGTGAGCAGCTTCATTTTTCTGCGTTTTTTTGCACCTGCCATCCTGTCTCCCAACCTGTTCCAGCTCAGCCCTCATCACCCAGTAAGTGATCGTTGTTTAGTTTCAGCAGAGTGTCAGAGAGCTGATTGAATGAGCCTCCTGTGGTGGAGAGAGCACAGACCGTGCAAGACACACTGTGTAAATGGGGGTTGCAGTACAAGTTACAGACATCACTTTCCTTCATCAGACTGAAACATTTACCACAGATATAAGAAATGCTATAAAATATATATAGATTATATTTATTTTATTTTTTTAGACATATTAGATTTTTCATTATTTAAAGGGACCCAATCACCAGCTTAAACAATTGCTAGTAAATATCAAATATTGGATGAAGCGCTCTGCTATAATAGTGCTATGTACAAAACCAAGATATTATATACATATATAAAATATAAAGACAAAAGTGACTAGTGCTTAATAATATGTGTAAAAAATATATATATATATATATATATATAAAGATTAATATAAAACCAGTCTGCCCCCAAGTGACTGAATAAAAGGTGACCGAGTGCTTAATTATATAAATAGTGTCTTAATAAATATAATAAAAATCACAGTGAATCATTTCAAAAAGTGCCAAGTGTTTAAATAACAATCAATATACATATAGTATAATCATGTGCAAAAATCATGCTATCACTCTTCTGTGAAGAAATAATATAAGTGCTTCTTCATCCAAATAGTGCTCAGACCAAGGTGTCACTCCAGTGAATAGATCCTAAATATCCAGAGTGCCTCCCCACCTCCAACATTCGACCCCTAAAGGCCACAGATCACTTATTTTAAATGATGTTCCAAAACCAACACCAGGATATAGCTTGCCCCACGACTCAAAATCTTAATATATAAGATGCCTCAGCCATATGTTCATGGACCATGGAAGATTAAGCACAAAGAGAGATCTCCATAGTAGTTTTATTATATATAAAAATCAGATGGAAAACTCACATGCTCTTAGAAGTATACAAACGATTCCCCCATATCCTATGGGTGTAATAGGAAATCACGTTTGCCGAAAACCGGAAGTACGACACCGGAAACACGTCACCAAGCTCCACTCGGAAATGACGTCAATGCGCTCCACGCGTTACACCACTGTCACATGGCTGCTTCAGGATCTTGAAATGATTCACTGTGATTTTTATTATATTTATTAAGACACTATTTATATAATTAAGCACTCGGTCACCTTTTATTCAGTTGTGTGTGCACATGTATAACCAGTTTTAGCTTGGGGGCAGACTGGTTTTATATTAATCTTTATATATATACAGTCAGGTCCATAAATATTGGGACATCGACACAACTCTAACATTTTTGGCTCTATACACCACCACAATGGATTTGAAATGAAACAAACAAGATGTGCTTTAACTGCAGACTGTCAGCTTTAATTTGAGGGTATTTACATCCAAATCAGGTGAACGGTGTAGGAATTACAACAGTTTGCATATGTGCCTCCCACTTGTAAAGGGACCAAAAGTAATGGGACAATTGGCTTCTCAGCTGTTCCATGGCCAGGTGTGTGTTATTCCCTCATTATCCCAATTACAATGAGCAGATAAAAGGTCCAGAGTTCATTTCAAGTGTGCTATTTGCATTTGGAATCTGTTGCTGTCAACTCTCAAGATGAAATCCAATAGCTTTCACTATCAGTGAAGCAAGCCATCATTAGGCTGAAAAAACAAAACAAACCCATCAGAGAGATAGCAAAAACATTAGGCGTGGCCAAAACAACTGTTTGGAACATTCTTAAAAAGAAGGAACGCACCGGTGAGCTCAGCAACACCAAAAGACCCGGAAAACCACGGAAAACAACTGTGGTGGATGACCGAAGAATTCTTTCCCTGGTGAAGAAAACACCCTTCACAACAGTTGGCCAGATCAAGAACACTCTCCAGGAGGTAGGTGTATGTGTGTCAAAGTCAACAATCAAGAGAAGACTTCACCAGAGTGAATACAGAGGGTTCACCACAAGATGTAAACCATTGGTGAGCCTCAAAAACAGGAAGGTAAGATTAGAGTTTGCCAAACGACATCTAAAAAAGCCTTCACAGTTCTGGAACAACATCCTATGGACAGAGGAGACCAAGATCAACTTGTACCAGAGTGATGGGAAGAGAAGAGTATGGAGAAGAAAAGGAACTGCTCATGATCCTAAGCATACCACCTCATCAGTGAAGCATGGTGGTGGTAGTGTCATGGCGTGGGCATGTATGGCTGCCAATGGAACTGGTTCTCTTGTATTTATTGATGATGTGACTGCTGACAAAAGCAGCACGACGAATTCTGAAGTGTTTTTGGGCAATATCATCTGCTCATTTTCAGCCAAATGCTTCAGAACTCATTGGACGCCGCTTCACAGTGCAGATGGACAATGGCCCAAAGCAGACTGCAAAAGCAACCAAAGAGTTTTTTAAGGGAAAGAAGTGGAATGTTATGCAATGGCCAAGTCAATCACCTGACCTGAATCCGATTGAGCATGCATTTCACTTGCTGAAGACAAAACTGAAGGGAAAATGCCCCAAGAACAAGCAGGAACTGAAGACAGTTTGCAGTAGAGGCCTGGCAGAGCATCACCAGGGATGAAACCCAGCGTCTGGTGATGTCTATGCGTTCCAGACTTCAGGCTGTAATTGACTGCAAAGGATTTGCAACCAAGTATTAAAAAGTGAAAGTTTGATTTATGATTATTATTCTGTCTCATTACTTTTGGTCTCTTAACAAGTGTTAGGCACATATGCAAACTGTTGTAATTCCTACACCGTTCACCTGATTTGGATGTAAATACCCTTAAATTAAAGCTGACAGTCTGCAGTTAAAGCACATCTTGTGTTCATTTAATTTCAAATCCATTGTGGTGGTTTATAGAGCCAAAAATGTTAGAATTGTGTCGATGTCCCAATATTTATGGACCTGACTGTATATATTTTTTACACATATTATTAAGCACTAGTCACTTTTGTCTTTATATTTTATATATGTGTATAATATCTTGGTTTTGTACATAGCACTATTATAGCAGAGCGCTTCATCCAATATTTGATATTTTATTCTGTTTGTCCCATGGTATAGGGTGTAGATGTTAGCGGCTAGCTATATTTAGGCAGTCTGTGGAGCGCAGGTGGATATTTATACTATCAATTGCTAGTAAATGCACAGAAAAAAATTAGTTATTTTAAATGCTTACTTGCAGTGTTTTTTATTTTCATGATTTATGTTTGTTTACTTGTAGTGTGCTTTTAACCTTGGTAAATATTTGACTGATTAGTTCCCTAGTTCAGACCCCTTCCTCTTTGCATGTCATATTCCTCTCCTCTTCTATGCTGCCCCATCTCTTCCACCTTCCACCCTTCTTCACCTCCCTACATAATTGTTTATATGGAGCGAAGAGGAAGTCTGCCATCACATCCAAGATGGCGACACCCAACACAGTCTCAGGGCATTTGGATATCTACACAAGGGAGGTTTTACAGGTAAGTATCATGCCTAAAATATGTTACATGCACATATCGTGGGGGGGGGGGGGATTTTGCAGAAATAAGTTTTAAAGAGTCTCTTTAAATTAACTTATGAGCTAACAGAGACCTCCAGTGCTGCCCCTGACATCACCTAAAGGACCATGCATAATGTTCAATATATGTAATGCTTGAGAGAATTCAGAAACTGCAAACTTTAAAGAGGAAATGAGGTCAGAGAGTGTGGACATTCCACATTGTTGGCTCAGGATATGCAGAAGACAATACAAAACTGGGAAAATGCTACGTCGTGCTAGTAGAAATCAATGCTATTACCCTAATGAATGTTCCCACTACAGACTACTGGGGTCTGAGAGCCACACATCACATACCAAAGGGCTGCATGTGGCCCCTGGGCCACAGGTTGGGCACCAGCACTTTAAACTGTTATTTTTGTTATATCATATCTATTCCCAGTTTGTGTTCTTTACCTGTTTTATTCATACTTAAGTTCAAATTAAAAAAATGTAAGCTGGATTTATGAGTAAAAATGTGTACAAAAAGGTATAATGTAATGTCTGTCATGTTGTTTTTACATTTCTGTGATCCAGAATTACAGGAATTTATTCATTTTGAATTTGCTGCAAATTGTGTTAAAACAGCAACTTGGAATGCCTTAAAATGTCATAGATGTATTATATTTTATGCATTAAGTGAAAAAATATGTACTATCACATTAAAGTAGGTATATAAAGAAACAATTATATTTTTAAATGTATTTTGAAATATAAATCCGCTATTTCTTTGTTAGATTGTGTAATATTAACTTCCAATAGGCCCAAGCCATTGAAAACTGATATTTCAGTTTTTAATTGGTGCTGGAGAGTTAAACCACCTGGTAATTTCTTGTGTGTTGATGAGATCTCTATGCTTTGGGGCCTATATATACACTTTTGTGTTGGGGTAACACATTACATGCTTGTTGTGCCATTCATTCTAAATGACACACTTTCAGACTTCAGGTATGTACACCATTTCTTGTGCATTGGACATCCTATTTGGAGTACAAACATGGGTTAACTGCTTGTTTTGTGTAGGGGCGAACACAGCCTATACTCACCTAATCCTTCGATCCTCCAGAAAGCGGTGCTCCCCCACATGCAGCGTTGGACTGTTCCTCCCATCCTCACATTTAGAGCCATTCTATGGGCATGATGACGTCAGGAACAGTCCACCACACAAGACTACTAGACTGCGGGGAGGCAGGAGCCACAGGGACTGGTCTTGCACTGGGAGAATCGGAGGACTAGGTGAGTATATCACAACACTCTAATCCCCTAGACCAGGGGTGTAAAAGTGGCTGCCCTCCAGCTGTTTTGAAACTACAAGTCCCATCATGCCTTTCCTTTGGGAGTCATGCTTGTAACTGTCAATCTTGCAGTGCCTCATGGGACTTGTAGTTTGGCAACATCTGGAGGTCCGCCAGTTTGACACCCGTGCCCTACACAAAAAACATCAGTTAACCAATGCAGTGTAGGCACAGCCCCACTGAATGAGAAAAAAACAATTTTTCCTGGAGTTCTTCTTTGAATGAATTATTCTTTGGTTCTGCACACCTACTGTGGCATCTTTGGAAGGTGCTGGTCACCCTGTTGGATATCATATTTACTTTATGCTATGGAAAACATAACAGGAGGAGCTGCACTTACAAAGGTGATAAAGAATTAGGGCAGGGTGCTCTCACTACTAGAGTGTCCAAGTAATATAAAAAGTCAGTGGGTATTTTTATTTTTGGGGGTTGTGAAAATTTCTAGCTGTTGTAATTGAATGTGTGTCCAATATCTCTTACAGGATCCACAGACATCCAGAACCTTAACACTTGTTTCCAAGACCATACAGACACTGGGTAGCTTGTCCAAGTCCAAATCTGTAAGTGCGATTTATACGGTTGGTTGTAGGTTTTATAGCTCAAACCGGAAGGTTAGTGGCGTAGAGCCTTTCACCAAGTGAAACCATTGGTTGGTGGAGTACAGTAAAATTGCAGCCTTTGGAGACAGTTCAGGTCAATTTTTCAGGCCACTTCATTCCAAAATGTGGAATGTCCAGAACTATGTTAAAGTCTTTGTTTTAATCTGCATGGCCAGTAAAGAGTGTTTTTTAACTGGTAGTGTTTATACTTCTACCCATGGCTAACACAATAAAGGCACAGTACATTTCTTTTCAATACATTATTTATAAAGTCCTGCAGGAACCATGGGTTTCAGGCATGCATAAACTGAACGCATGACATATTTCTCTCTCAAATCCCAAGCATTTTACCTCTCGTGTCTCGTGTGTGTGTGTGTATGTATATATATAAATATATTTTATGTGTGTGTGTGTGTTTTTTTTCACAAGATGTCAATTTAAACAAGTGAGCAAATATGTTGTATTATTTATTGCTGTGTATTGAAGGATTTTTTTTCCTATTACAATGTAAGCATATACCAAACGATTGACCATGCCAGACACATCTTTATATACTGTATCTTGCTGCCTTTGTTTTGCTTTCATTTTTTTAAATCTACATTCAATGTTTATGTAAAAAATGCAGATTTCCATTTACCGTTTTCCGTTATATGTTCAGAAATGAAAGAGAGGATTTGTTTTGTTGCTGTAAGTCAGCACAAAACGTTTGTAATACAGAGATTTTAAATCAATGAATGAAGCTCAACTTAGTGATTATTATTACTACATACAGTATAGCAATGGCACCTATATACATCGGACAGAGGTAGATTTATTAGGTGAAAATAAGACACCACAAGTTGTGTATGATCCACAATCTAACAACCAATGCTTGGTCTTTAAATTTCAAAAATAAAGATATCTACAAATGGATATTACAAATTGTAAGTCAGCTGTCAATTTGATTGAAATGTGTGATTTACTACTTATATACATATGCAATATTGCTTTAGAATAAGTTTAAACTGAAATAGGATGTACACAGGCAGCAGGGTCATTTACAGTCTGACCTGTAGCTGAGGTGTTCAGTTTATTTCTGACATTTCATACAAGTATCTGCACTCAATACTTTTTCTCATGATTTTACTCATCACGTTTTCTCACACATTTAATAACTACTGGTAAAATACTTCAAACAACAAAAATTATATTTAAAAAAGAACATCAGAAATTTTAATTAGATTAGAAAAAGGCACAGGTCCATGGAGGTAAATCCACAATACACATTTCTTATCCTGCAGGCAGGGCCATGGTACCACCAGTCCTCCTGTACAGGGCCCAGGGCAGCGGGGTGGGCCCAGGCAGCTGGTTGAATCAGATATGGGCAGAGAGGGTGGCTTCTTCTCCTCTCCCTCCCACTAGCTTTCAGCTGCTGCAGAGAGAGCCATGCAAGGGTCAGTTCCAGTAATTGCCCCCGCCGCACCCATCACCCCCATTATATTTCCCTCTGCTGCCCAGGCCCCCCTGTGTGCCCCCACAGTGCTGCCGCATTCCCTCCTCTCCTTTCCACCAGCATCTGCAAGCACACAATAGGATCCTTTGGGATGAAAAGTGGGGGAAGGGTCTGGTAAATATGTCACATTTACCAGACCCTTTTCCTGAATGAACACAATGAGTGATTGGTAACAATCACTCACTGTGTTTGTTCATAACTGAAGCCTAGTAAACTTTTTTGTTTTTTTTTTGGTGGAGGGGCTCTGTCAGGTTGGCTGTATGGGACCCCGTGGTTTCTAACAGCAGTCCTGCCTACAAGTGATCAAAAGAAAGGAAAATCCTTATAAGGCTAGGTTCACATCAATGCAAGTTGCAGATTGTGCGATTTCACAGTGCGTTTTGCTCTTTTGATGTCTGTAAAGTATTAACCTAGATGCAACTTGGATGCGACTTTGATGCTTTTTGAGTACCAGAAAGTATAAAGTAGCATAGAAGTCAATACTTTCCTATTGGCAAAAAAACTCCTGCAAAACACATAAAAAAATACAACGCTTGCATTTTTGGTGCAGTTCCATTGAAGTCTCTTGCACAAAAAAACTCAATCTGCTGCCTGAAAAAAAGGTCTCAGGCCCTTTTAAAAAAAACGCACTGGCTCAAAATGCACAGATGTGAACTAGATTCATAGAAAATCACGTTAAATGGACTGTAGTGCATTTTTGCAAACTGGAAAACGCATTGAAATCCGCATAAGTGTGAATGACCTAGAGATGTGCATGACGAAAACATTGGTCTTGTTTCAGATTCATTCATTAAGGCAATCATTTTATTTTATCATATTCATTATGTTAGAATGATTAGTTTTCTGAATTTGTTCTGTATATTCAAATTCATTTTTCATAGTTGTTGTTTGGAATTGATTCATATTATCAGAAGTTATTTCGGATGATTAATACATTATGATTCCAGTGTGACTTTGCATTGCAACTTGGTTGTAATTTTGAAGAGACTTGGATGCTTTGCAAATTTCTTGCAATTTCGATGCGATGAACAGTTTTCCACTGAGTGTACTATATAGACTATTTATTTGAAAGTTGATTATTATTATTATTATTATACAGTATTTATAAAGCGCCAATAGTTCGCTCAGCGCTGTACATTACAAAGGGGGACAGAACATGTGACAGAACAATACCAATACAATGCAAAACATGAGGGGATTGAGGGTTATATTCCTTTACTAATTTCGTCTGTTTTTTAAGGATGAATACATGCAGTTACGATAATCATAATATTCTCTTATAATTGATGTCCTACCTACCCCCTAATAGTTTAAGTGCCCTTCTTTGCTCTTTATGTTGCACATGTTATTTTTTTGGCTGTGCAAAGAAAAAGAAAAGGGTAAAAAAAAAAGATATTTGTGTAGTGGGGGGTGGATGGAGACGAGCTAACTTGTGAATATCCACTTTAACCTTAACCACTACTCTTTATAGCACATAATAATGAGTTCATTTCTGCCATATATTTATTTTAGCATTTCTCTACCCACAGATCCATTATTTATGACACTTTTACCAAGGAGTGAACATCTGTTTGTACTCATAGGAGAACATAGGTTATCCCAGGGCATGGTGTTGGGTCTTGTGTAATAGAACCGGGTCCTAGTATTTGTTTTTCTTCTTTATGTCTAGGCATAAGGATGAGTCACAGGAAAATACATATTTTACATCTAGTCATTTCCTCTAGATAGGTGGACATACATATTAGTAAAAAAAATAGCAAACTGCCTGTACTAGGATGGTATGCTAGTCTACTTTGATTTCTAAACGTACTGCTCATTATGAAGCCAGTTTGGAATTATTTATAATGCCACAGTCATAGCCAGTACTCACATGATGTGCTTGCCCAAAGGACTGCTAAACTTGTGCATACACAAAGCTAAGTATTCAGTATGTACTGTATGTAGTATTGCTAGGCAGCCTATTTTACTATACCATTTTAGGCTAATGAAGCTAAAAGGTGATAGTTGACAGTACTGTATATCTCTGAAATCTGGAAAGGAAAGTCATTTACATTTTTAAGATATTGTATGCTAATGTAACTTTTTTATTTTACAAATGTATTACAAATTAACTTTTAACAAGCTTTAGAAATGTGTATCCTTGAAAACCATTAACATTATTTTATATCAGTAACTAGTACTTAATATTTCTTGGACAATTAATAGTTTTTTGTATTTCCCATATTAAAGTGGTTTTAAAGGCAGAAGATTTTTTACCTAAAGGATATGTTCACCTTTGGGGCTGCTCTGTGCATTGCACAGAGCAGGTACAAATACCATGTTTGTTATTTTACAAAATTCCCTTTACAATCACTTTAATATAGAGATGACTGAATGCATTGCTTATATGGGTCCATTTACATCAATTTCTTTCACAGAGGAACTTCCATAAATTCCATATTTATGTAGCATATTTATTTATATCAAACCAAAATGCTGCGCTACCTATTTGAATATGTGATAATCTAATCAAGTGAAACAAATACCTTTACATAATATCATCATTCCATTGTACAAATCAACATAGTGTAAACTTATAACACCAAATTTGAAAAATAGTGAAAATCCAAATCCAGATTGAATCAAAAGAGCGTTCTGGTAATCCTTATGCATTTCCAAACCAATGACTTTTTGTCTCATCACCATAAAAATGAAGTCTCTTATCAAATTAACCTGACCCCTAATAAAGCAAGGTCATTTGTACTTGTGTGACAGAATGGGTCACTGTGTGGATTATAATGAACAGCCTCTGCATCAATCCCCCAAAGGATTCATAAAAATCTAAGTAGACATGTCATGCGATAAACCATGAAATAGGAAGAAAGAGGACTCCAAATAGTGTGAATCCGCAAATACTATAGGCCTATTAAAATTAGAGTATTACTTATAAGAATGAGAAAAATGAAACCTTTAAAAAAAATTACCGCTTGCTGCTGCAGACTTGATGACATCAGGTCCTAAGCTCCGTCCAACGCATTTCATCACAGTTGATGTCGTCGGAGGTCTAGACAAGGCCTGATGGGTCACTGTGGTAAAAAAGCACAGTTACCCATTCTGTCACACTGTCATATTTGGATATTTTGTGGGCAGCTCACTTTTGTATGATTTTGGATTTTATGTTTAGTTAAAAAAAAAAAACAAAGAGCACAGAATTAATACACTTTATACATATATTTATTTATATAGCAACCAGCATACATTCAATCATAAACTCGGGGGATTTTTTTTAAAATGTAAACCTACTGTTGCTTATGGTCCTCAAATAGGTGTTTGCACACTCCTTGATTTTCATTCAGATAGTCCTGAACCCCAGGGAGAAGGGTATACAAATATACAAATCCTAGTTGTAAAACCCAACCCAGTATATTTATTCAGTAATATTGGAGCTCCCGTGTCTTGTTTTATGCCGTAAAATGTTACATTGTGTGTTTGCTTTTTCTTTATATTTCTGCTCATGAATATCCTCACTCCAGTTTCATCTACCATTGTATTTATGCAAATTAATATAACAACTTGCTTTAGAATAGAACTGCTACATTCCCACCTTTAACATATGTAAAATCTCCCAATAAAAAGAGATAGAAATACTTCTATGCAGCATATGTACTGCCAATCTGGACTGTGCTGCACACATGTATATTCTTCTTCATTAAACATTTCTCAGAGGAACAGCCATGGTTTCAAATTAATTACTAATCTTTTTTAATCAGCATATGTAGTCGTGCTTTACGAATTACATGTGTAGCAAGTGTGTCTAAAGCCAAAACTTTTTTTTTGTGTTGGATAGAGTAGGGAAATGTTATTGACTTTGTGTTGCAGTTGGGGAGATTATGGGGTTAATTTACTAAAGGCAAATAGACTGTGCACTTTGAAAAGTGCAGTTGCACTCTGCAAGTGCAGTTAAATGAGGTAAAGCTTCCCTTTGCCAAGAATACCCAATCATATGCAAGGACAATTAAAAAAATACAGCATTTTTTTTTTTTGCTTGCACATGATTGGATGATGGAAGTCAGCAGAGCTTCTGCTCATTTACTAAGCTCTGGAGCAGTGGCGGACTGACAACTCATGGGGCCCCCAGGCAATGAGGGATCATGGAGCCTCTGTGTCCTTGCCCAAACTCAAAAAAGCCTATGAAAAAGGTACCAGGGGCATCTCATGGGGCCCCCTACTGAACCCGGGCCCTCGGGCAGTGCCCGAGTTTCCAAATGGTCAGTCCGCCCCTGCTCTGGAGCAACTGCACCTGCAGAGTCTAACTGCCTTTAGTAAATCAACCCCTTTGCCTTTATTTGTCCTAGTAGCTACTATATATGGGACGTAAAATGGGGAAGAATCCACAATTTTGGGCTGTCACAGAAACAAAAATACGGCAGTTTTCCAATGGAAACACTTGTTGTGATGACAACTGTCCCTTTATAGATTCCCTGTTTCTTCCTGATGTGTCAGAAAGTAAAGGAAAATCTCCTTAATCTGACACAAATGGCAAAAATTACTGGGGTAATAAATCTAAAATTAAAACATAAGCTTGGCTATAGATATACTTTGAGCCACTCACCTCAAAGTGTTTGCTTGAAGGAGCTTATGATCCAGTGTCGTTATCAAAGATACAGTATACAAACATGAAAGACAAATTGGTGGAAGCTTAAATTAAAGAGACCTATACAGTCATCAGTAGAAAACTAAAAAAAATGTATCCTGTTGGTAGAATGTCAATGGTGGAAAATGAGCCTAGGACTTTAGTCCTACACCGCCAGAGTACCAGTCGCTGAGCCTCAATGATGCTTCTGCATTTCCCTATTTTCAGTCAGAATCTCTTGATCCCCTGTAAAAGTGGAGTAGTAACTATGAATAGAATAAACAGTTTAAGTAATGTCAAATTTACAACTGTTGCCATACTGACATATTTGACTTCTTCTTGCAGGCCAGCTTCAAAGAAACCTATATGGCTGCTTTTTATGACTACTTTAATGAGCAGAAGTATGCTGATGCTGTTAAAAATGTAAGCCTGGAAAACTAAATACCTTTTTATAAGTAAATTCTGTGCAGGAAAACATTATGTTACTATATAAAAAAAATGGAAAGCATTCTCCACGTTTCCCAAATATAATAAGATAAATCTTAGTATGTATTTAATAGCCTTTAGCCTTGATTTACCATTTCAGTGTGGTCTTGTAAATCTAATGTTACAGTTGATGGTGTTTGTGTCTTAGTGGTTTCCAGGTTAGATTCATTTGTAGTAAATCCTCTGCTTCCATCAGAGTAATTTGATGTGACCAGGGTCATGTAACTTAATTGTTGGATAAAATGAGCATGGTGGCTGCACATGCTACAATATATTCACGGGGGGGAAGTGTTTCAGAAGCACAGATGTTACACATTGCATTATTTAAACCTTATTGGGTAATGTTCATTCACATCACACTGCAATTTCCCCTTGTAACTAATACATAACTCTTCCTTGTTCAGTTCTTGGACCTAATTTCATCTTCTGGAAGAAGAGATCACAAAAGTATAGAGCAACCAATTGTGCTCAAAGAAGGGTGAGTATAGCTTTATGTTATTTGTGGCAACACTAGGTATTCAAAAGGAAATTATATGTTTTTGGAGTATTTTATTTTAGTTATTTTTAAGGACACCTTCACACTCTGAGTTGTTATCACACATTAACACAATGTTGTTGCAAGCTAAGGAGCAGTGCAATAACTTTGAATGGGCTAGCAGCACACTTTAATACATATAAAAACAGGCCTGCATTTTCTGCCATGCACCTCAGGGCTTAGTATGTGAGCATTGGGGTGCATCCTCTTGCCATGCAGGGGGGCATGGATGTAACTGAACAAGGCCTTATTGTGTGAAAGCAGATATTTGCATATGATAAGAAAGCTTAGTGGGTTTGTTTGTCAAAACCTTGATGTTTTTGGTGTTCCTAAGGCCTGTTTGCACATTTAAGTGTTCTGCCTTGTTCCTCTTTATCCAGATTTATGATCAAAAGAGCTCAGGGAAGGAAACGCTTCGGTATGAAGAATTTCAAGAAGCGATGGTTTCGCCTTACTAACCATGAGTTTACATACCATAAAAGTAAAGGTAACTCATGCTTAGATTTCTTTGTAGGTTTGCAGTGAAGAAGACTGAAGTGTTATTACATTTGTAGCACTCTCAATCATTCAGTTTATCATTATTTTGATCTCGTCAGACATCTCCTGCTGTCATGCACACTTTGTAGTGTTTGTTCAAGCTTTCTTGTCCCACTGTTTAGTATGTTTGATTTATGCCTGATCATCCAACATTAGGAACTTGCCAAGAATCAGAAATGCCCATTTAGAAGCCCAATGGCTATGTATTGATCTCCTAATCTGACCTATGATCTTCAAATTAATATGTATTTAAAAAAAAACAGCACTCCTATTATACTTCAGTTCTGTGATAGTGAAAAGAACAGCTGTGTAAGGGTCTACAAGTGTAAGCTGCATTTTTCATGGGCTCTACTAGTAACCACAGCTTATAGTGAGGCATTACCACTACTGACAACATATTACTGCAGCTACTATACAATGAACAGAGCATCACAGCCAATCTGCATACTTAGTTTTAGATTTTGTTCAATATTTTTTAAAGGGAATGTTCCGTGGTTTTGTACGTTTCTCTCAATAACATATTTTCTTTTCCTTCCTTACTTTGTCAGGTAACTGTAAAACATTATACATTAAGGATCTGTTTTTCTTTATATCAAGCCTTCAGGTTGTACTCTAAGCTCCTTTTCACATGTTTATCTCCTCATTCCATACAGCTCCATCTGAAGGAGAGAAGACTGTCTAAATACTTAATTGAATTACCCATAGTTCTTTGAGAATCCTTCCTCTCTCTCTCTTGCTTTATACAATATATATCCAGTGGGTAAAATAAGTATTAAGCACATCACCATTTTTCTCAGTAAATATATTTCTAAAGGTGCTGCTGACATAAAATTTCAAAACATGTCAGTAGCAACCCATGCAATCCATACATACAAAGAAACAAACAAACACAAATATGTTCAGAAATTAAGTTATGTGTAATAAAATGGAATGACACAGGGAAAAAGTATTGAACATGCCAACTGAAATTTATTTAATTCTTCGTACAAAATCCTTTGTTAGTAATGACGGCTTCAAGATGCCTCCTGTATGGAGAAACTAGTCGCATGCATTGCTCAGGTGTGATTTTGGCCCATTCTTCCACACAAACAGTCTTCAAATCTTAAAGGTTCTGTGAGCCTCTTCTATGAACTCTGATTGTCAGTTCTTTCCATAGATTTTCTATTGGATTCAAGTCAGGTAATTGCCTGGGCCATTCTAGCAGCTTTATTTTCTGTCTTTGAAACCAACTGAGAGTTTCCTTGGCTTTGTGTTTGGGATCATTGTCTTGCTGAAATGTCCACCCTCGTTTCATCTTCATCATCCTGGTAGATGGCAGCAGATTTTTATCAAGAATGTCTTGGTACAGTTGAGACTGAACCAGCTGATATTAATTTGCATTGACAAGGGGCAGGATTGCTTTCTAATTACTGATAAATTTCAGCTGGTGTCCTGGCTTTCCATGCCTTTTTGCACCTCCTTTTCTTCACATGATCAGTACTTTTTCCCTGTGTCATTCCAATTTATTACACATAACTTAATTTCTGAACTTATTTGTTTTGGTTTCTCTGTAGTTATGGATTGCATGGGTTGTTACAAATATATATATATATATATATATATATATATATATATATATATATATATATTCTGTTTAAAAGTTATTAATTAAAAAATAAATAAATAAAATAAATGGACCCAAAGTCATTAAGGCTTATTTGCACCATTGCATATATTGGTGTAATGTTTTGCTATTGTCAGTGTCCCTGTTAGAAATTTTCCCTTACTTCCTTTCTGGTGAAACCATTGTGAAATCTCTCTAACAGAACCCTGGATGCCAAAAAAACTCTCCAAAGTTAAAAATTGCTCAGAACTGCAGTATGCACATAAACATTGGAGTTTTTTTTTTTTTAGAAAATAGAACATTTGGATTGGGATGGGGCTCTAGATGTAGTACCAAGGCTGCTCTAGTCTCTAAAGAGACTAGATTTTGTCAGATGGATTGCCCATCGTGAAATAGCACATTGCAGTTTATTTTAAACAGCCTAAAAGTTGCTCTGTGACTCCATCTCCTGGATTGTGCTTAAATGACAGTTTTTTGTCCCATGTTTCCAGCAGGTGATCATCCGCTTTGCAGTATTCCGATTGAAAACATTCTGGCAGTAGAGAAAGTAGAAGAGGAGTCCTTCAAAATGAAAAATGTAAGATGACAGACTACAACTTATTGGATTCTAAACCCCATATATATATTTTTTTTAGTCTTGTTAAAATGATATGGTAGCATATTTAGAGTCATCATTATCATTGTCTTTTGAATTATTAAAAGAAAAAATATACTTTTGTCCTGATATGTATGCCAGAAGGCAGTAAACTTGATTTGTAGATAGGTCTGACTTTAGTTTTGTGTCTTTTAAGATGTTTCAAGTCATCCAGCCAGTTCGTACTTTGTATATTCAAGCAAATAACTGTGTGGAAGCAAAGGATTGGATAGACATCCTCACCAAAGTCAGCCAGTGTAACAAGAAGCGCCTCACTGTTTTCCATCCCTCTGCCTTTCTAAATGGACATTGGTTGTGTTGTAAAGCTACTTCAGAGACTGCCACTGGCTGCAGTCCCTGTACTGGGTAGGACTTCCTTATTATGTGGCTGTATTGTCTTTCCATTATATTTTACAAGCTATAGTAAAAATAGTAAAATTTTCCATTCCTAGACTGAGCATTGATATGTTATGATTTGTTGGAAGAAAGCATACAGGGGGTGCAAGCACCTAGTGCACTATCCAAGGTTTCTAAAAAATATATATAAAAAGACAAAAAACATACTTACAAACATAGCATGTGTGTAAAGCCTATAAGACCATAGAGATGGCCACATGAATGGCAGAGTGTCCGACTGATGGTGTGGCCAGCCTGCTGATGCGTTTAGGGGATGAATCCCTTTCCTCAGAGCTATGGCCAGTCTGAATACAGGTCATGCTTTAAATGTCTGCAGCCAATGCACGTATGACCAAACCCCTACCCTCAAGCCCGGAGGAAGAAGAAGGGGATCATGGGAGTTGTTAGAACCATATGTACAGAGAAAACCACAAGTGAATATATAAATATATATAAAAACATGATAATCATTATAATGCATTGTGATAGTTGAGAGATGAAGATACATATGCTGAGCAACCATATCAAAGCAACTTAGATGTGAAATGGGGAGGTATAAATGGTGTTTAATACAGCCATTTGATGTTACAGTATCTCTAAATGGGACCCACAACTTGGTGCTTGGATTGTTATAGAATGTCAGACACAGTCAAGTTAGTGTGTGCTAATCCATGGGAATGACTTGTAAATGTCAGAATAGGAACTGTTTTGAAGCTGAAGTGACCACCGTAGCGCACGCCAGCGTGGTTGTGCGTTCCAAAGGCCGGAAGTGTAGAACCAGAAGTGCATTATGAATGACATCATATCCAGTACTCACAAAGCAAACTGAAATGAGACTGAAATTGTTGCCGGAACACACGCCAACATGGCATTGTGTTCCACAGGCTGGAAGGAGCAAACTGGAAGTGCGTCGAAAATGATGTCATGTCCGGTGCTAACAAGGCTAGCTGCTGGAGTGCACCAGGGGGGACCGCGCACTACCCAGAAGAGACCAGGGATAAATTGCTGCGGCACCGCACTTGGTGTGAATCCAGCACATTGGGGCACATAATGACAAAAGAGGAAACAAAAATGAAAATAAAAATAGAATTAAAAGTCAAAAGAATGACTGTATGCAAAAATAATGTACCACTGAAAAAGAAAGAGGGAAAGAAAAATGTAAAGCATGGTTTGCTATTGTGAAAAGTGATGAAAAATGTCTCATAAAAGTCTCATGAAAACAGCCATTAAAGATTATATCATAAAAACAAACATGAAAACTAAAAATAGGTCATTAAAATGAAAATATATTGTTTTACATGAAAAATGAGTGTATGAAATTCAAAACATTAATAAATGCATATCGAGGTGGAAATGAACTAGCTAAAGATGATGGATGGAAAACGCCAATAGATGGAGGAACCAATGTACTATCGGTAAACCAAAACATATACATTTACATGTAGCCTGACATTTTGCCTTGTATGGCATAATCTACAAAATTGGCTACCAGTATTATCAATGAATCAGAGCATTCATGTTTCTGTCCCCTTGGCCCTCCCCTGGCATTGGTTCCCTGAGGCGCTGGAGAGTACACACTTTTGTATGTTATGATTTGTTGCACTTGCATCCTTATAACTCGTATAAATGGATTTATTCTTTTATTACAGGGGCCTGCCAGCAAACATCCAACTTGTCATTGATGGCGATAGGGAAACTGAGCGAATTTACTCCCTCTTTAACACCTACATGTCCAAGCTGGAAAAAATGCAAGGTGAATCTATTTTATAGAGTAGAAAAGTTCAGGATATACCCTTCTTGTATGTTTTTATACAGTGTAATGCTAGAGATACATGAATCACATTTTGATCTGATTGTTTAAATATCTGTTCAGTTATTATTATTATTGTACAAGATTTATATAGCAGTTCAATACAAGAGGGATAGGAGGGCCCTGCTCCTTGGAGTTTACAATCTAGGAGGGAGGGGCTAGTGGTACAAAAGGTAATAACTGTGAGGGATAGACTGGTAGGAGGAATAGAAGATTCCATTATTAACTGAGGGCAGGATAGGCTTCCCTGAAGAGATAGGTTTGCAGAGATCACCTAAAAGTGAGCAGAGTAGGCGATAGTCTGATAAATTGGGGTAGAGAGTTCCAGAGGATGGGGGAAGCTCTGGAGATATCCTGGAGACAAGCATGGGAGGAGGAGACAAGGGAGCTGGGGAGCTGGAGGTCGTGCGAGGAGCGGGGGGTACAGTTTGTGTGATATTTGGAGACAAGATTGGTGATGTAATTTGGGGCAGAGTTATAAATGGCTTTATAAGTTATTAAGGTATATAAGGTTATAAGGTAATGTTTTGAATTTTATCCGTTGGGCAATGAGAAGCCAGTGGAGGGATTGGCAGAGAGGGGTGGCAGATATGGAACAGTTAGTAAGGTGGATGACTCTGGCAGCAGCATTCATGATAGACTGAAGAGGGGATAGCCTGCGATTAGGTAGGCCAATGAGGAGGGAGTTACATAAGTCAAGGCGAGATATAGCAAGGGAGTGAATAAGTTGCTTAGTAGTTTCCAAGGTAAAGAATGGCCGTATCTTGGAGATGTTGCGTAGGTGAAGTCTACAAGATTTGGACAGTGATTGGATTTGGGGGTGAAAGGACAGATGGGAGTCTAGGATTACACCTAGCACCCTTGCATGAGCGGAGGGACTGATGATTGTATTATTGATCTTGATGGAGAAATCAGTGGAGGGGGCACAGGCTGGAGGGAATACTAAGAGCTCCGTTTTGGAAAGATGAGTTTGAGGAAGTGGAGTGACATCCACACCGATGTCACTTAGTAGGTTAGTAATGTGAGAGGAGACTGAAGGGGTGAGGTGAGGAGTAGAAAGATAGATTTGTGTGTCATCAGCATACAGATGGTACTTAAAGCCATGGGAGTTTATCAAGTGACCAAGGGAGGAGGTGTAGTTGGAGAAGAGAAGGGATCCAAGGACAGAACCTTGAGGGATCCTTACAGAAAGACGGAGTGGAGAGGAGAAGACAGAGTTAGAGGTAACGCTGAAGGAGCGCTGCGATAGGAGGAGAACCAGGAGAGAGCAGAGTCTCGGAGGCCAAGAAAGTAGAGTTTTTTTAGAAGGAGGGTATGGTCGACAGTATCAAAAGCCGCAGAGAGGTCAAGTGGTAAGAGTACAGAGTAGTGGCCATAAAGTGTCACTAAAGGCATTTTTTGGATTATTCGGTAGAGTGGAGAAGGATCAGTTTTTTATTGCTCTCTGTGGCACCCTTAGGGAGAATCATTCTCCCTATTTGTCCTGTTTACAGTTCTCATTGAAAGTGAAAAAAAAAGAAAATTGGGTTGACTTCAAAACAGGAATAAAGAGCACGCACGCGCGTGCGCGTACTGCAACAATGAACAGTGTTAACCAGGTAGCAAGAGTGATGCTAATTTATGCAGTGTGAAGTGGGCGTTGGACTAATGTTGGAGGTGTTTTGAATTACTGACCTGGAACAAACATGCACACCAAGGGGTTGAATTACTAAAGGTGAGTAGATTGCAATTTGCAAAGTACAATTTCACTCTGCAAGTGCAGTTGCTCCAGAGTTTAGTAAATGAGCAGAAGCTCTGCTGACTTCCATTATCCAATCATGTGCAATCAAAATGTTTTTTTTTTTTATATTTTTTCCATGTGATTGGGTATTCTTTGCAAAGTGAAGCTTTACCTCATGTTGTGGAGCAAATGTCCTTGCAGAAGGCAACTGCAGTTTGCAAAGTGCACAGTGTATTTGCTTTTAGTAAATCAAACCCAAGTGTTCAGACTTTAGTCTGACTTCATTTGCTTCATGCAGGTCAGTGGCTTAGAATGTGCTGAAGTCAGATAATCAGCATTACAGGTTAGCAACAGCAGCCTCCAGGTTTCCCTCAGCACCTTTTCCCTTGAAAATGTAAACCATTTAGGAGTGGTGACATGTTAGAACCCACATTCTTATAGGCACAGAATAGCTGGGGCCTGATTGGAGTTGTGTGGATTTGCATATGGGAGGTTGTACTAAATGTACTAAAACTTTCATAACTGAAAAAAGGGGCATAGTCAGCTTCTCCTATTGCTTGAATCAACATTTCAGGGTCACAAGTTTTTTTTTAGATTTTATACATAAATGTTCTTCCATTTATTAATTTATCTGACTGTGCTAAGTGTTGTAAGTTGGTCTAGTTTTGAAAGTAGCATTTTAAGGGGGTGTTGGCTGAATAATATATATTTTGCTTAGTGTAACAGCATATTGTGCTAAAAAAGTGAAAGGTATGTTGTAATACCACTGATCTCTCTTTCTGCTGTCCTGCAGAGGCTTGTGGTAGTCGGTCAGTATATGACGGCCCTGAGCAAGAGGAGTACAGTAGCTTCATTATTGACGACCCTCGTGAAACCTACAAAACACTATGTAGCATTATAGAAGGTGTTAAGACATTAGAAGAGGAGCATGCTCAGTACAAGCGGGATAAATTCAAGAAGACTAAATATGGAAGTCAGTAAGTACAACACATCTTATCTTCTATTCATCACAAGGTAAACTAAAGGTGGCCACTCGTAGCCTGAAATTTATATTCCAGAAACAAGCAGTGCTTGCCTCGAATAGGGGGCAGAATCAGGACATTATGAACTTCTGTTAGTAGGGCTATAAAGAACTTCTGTACACTAAAGCAAATATACCAGGGAGCTACCTGAATATATATTGTATGCAAAGAACCCAAATAAACTGGGGAGGTATCTCCAAGCAATAACAATGAAAAAAATAATATGACACCTTCTTATGGCTCATACAATAATTGTGTATTCATTATAAATAAAACATTTCCACTGTAGAAAAAACCTGGGCAATTCCCCTTCCCCCCCCTCCCCCTATGAACACCATCTCCCCCCCCCCCCCCCCCCCCACACAAAGATATGCCGTGTACCTCTTCCCTCCCTTCCTACCCACCCACAAGACCCTCTAATCTAGCCTTTCCTAATACTCCCCCAAAAAGGATGAAGGAAATCGGGACCCAAATACCCAGCTTAAAGGACAGGTGGTATGTGCCTATCAAGCACTTCTCTCCAACACAAACTGATTGTTTACCTCGTTGGACGTTTTTAAGTGGTTTTTGGTGAAGAGATGGAAGGTGTTAGCTATAAAAAACACAGTTTTTGTTCATCATCTGTTGAGTTGCAAACCATATTGGAAAAAGATGACAGAGGATTCAAGAAACAGCAGTTATCTCACTGGTCATTGTGCTTGGGGAGATATCTGACCACACAATTCCATAATGGTTTAATATGTAACGTTTAGCACGATGAAGAATTATGAGGAACATTGCAAGTGGCCTGAGTGTCCCATCATGGTCAGGATGTTATTAGAATCCTGCTTATTTTCTTTTATAAGGGGCCAACTCTCTACTACAAAAAAAGATTTATATTCATCATGTAATACACAGGTACTTGCTTGTGAAGCTGAATGATTAACAAAGTAGAGTCAACGGACTCGATTGGAAAAGCAACTCAATTTATATTATCTATATTTCAACAGTATATAATCTCTTGCAGCTACAGTAAAATCTCCCATGTACTTCTGGATGGGTCTGTTACCCTGTTAATCATTTTGTGTTTTGCTACTTTGGCAAAAGCTTGTAGTGAGTGTGAGTGTAGAATACCTAGCCAGTGTATTCACTTTGCTCAACAGTTTGTGTTCGACTATCAGAATAAATTTAGCAAGGCTGTTTCAAGAATTAGATTGGTTTGGCGCATATGTAGCTTTGGTTGGTTTAAAATTAGAGTAAGACAATAGGCTTTCTTCTCTACATTTCAGTGCTTAACTTTCAAATTTGACCGAAAGGTATCTCTAAAGCCAGCCATAGATGGTGCGATTTTCTTTCCTGCAACCACAGTCAGTGTTGCTGGGGGTATCCCTTCCGCGGAGCCATTGTGTTCTCCCAGCGTAGAGGCAGGGGGAGCCATCCACGCTGAGAGAACACAGTGATTACTGCTAGTGGTTATAAGAGCCACTTATGATAATCGCATGTAAAATCTGGCAGGCTGGTTGTACCCAAGTTGAAAACTCAGCCGGTCCCTGCTGAACCAGCCAAGATTCGAACGGTACTCTATGACCAGCTTAAGATATGATTTATTTTCACAATCAAAGTGTTGTTAAAATAATATACTTTATATAAAAGATACCTGCTACTTTATATATGATAAATCTTCACACAGTTACATTTGTTTATTCTTAGTATGTTCTGAAATAAGAGATATGTCTAATTAATGCTCTGTTTCTTCCTTCAGAGAACATCCGATAGGAGACAAGAGTTTTCAGACCTACATCAGGCAGCAGTCTGAGGTGTCAACACATTCCATTTGACTTGCCATAGGATGCACTTCAAGGATTACAAAAGGAAATGTCTCTTCCTACCCATAATAATAGAAGAGTGAAGTCTTCGTGAGATTCAGTGTTGTAACGCTGTGTATGGAACTCAGAACAAGATATGCTGAGTTTTTGTGGGTGTTTTCAGGACTGTTACAGAGTTGTAATGCACTTTAATCATCTGAAACAGATGACAACTTTCCCTTTTTTATATAGCTTATCCTGATGACTGTACCCCTCTGACCAGTTCAATGAACTGGTCCACTAATGTCTCCTCTGCTTCCCTTTGTGATATAAAATACGCATTCCTGGAACTGTATAGTCAACCTTGCAGCGTGTTTGATGATACTTTTCTGCCACAAGGGGGTGCTGAAACCCTTTTTTTTTTTTTTTTGCCTGATTCTGACTCAGGACTGCACTGTAAATACTGGACACATGAAAATTGGAATCACAATAGGATTCAAGGCCTAGAAATCCAAGAAGAGTTGTTTAAGGCAATGTTATATCAAAGAAGTATTTCATTTTGATTATCCAACCAAATCAAATATTAAAGCAAAAAATGTTTCAGTAGCAATCACACCATAGGATGGTGTATTTATTTTCTACCTAATTTACTTCTAATACATTGCTCTCCACCTAGTTGGGTCATATAACACAAGTATCTTGTAAGCACTGGATCTCAAGAGTTTGAACATTGCTGCTTGTATAGGGTTCCATATCTAAAAGTCAAGTATACTACGTCAGATATTCATCTTAGAAGGACAAAAACTATTGGAAGAAAATATATTTTCCCTTTTATTAATTTAGAAATTTGCCTGTGAAATAAGCCTCTCTTGTTTTTTTCTGAATAGCAGCAGCTGTACAGGTTGGACTGCTTAGGCCATATACTTGCCAAAAGACATTTCGAACCACTGAATTACGTAAGATGTAATGGGTTTGTATGATGTCATCATTTGTGCCAAAGGGCTTATATTAGGCTCCTGTTGCTTTATTTAAGAAGGGCCATGTCAGCAGGAAAAGTATGTTTGCTGCTCAGTTCCCAGATGACTGCAATATTAGCACTGCTACAGCCAGTTGAATCCTGCGTATGGTGAGATTTCATGATAGCCCTTCCCTTTGTGGATTCCCCTTTCTATCAAAGGAACAAGTAATTCCTAAAAATACTATATTTGACTTTGGGATTAAGAAGGGTTTTTTCTTTTTTGCAAAGTTGCGCATGGTAAGCAGTTCATGTTACGATAGCTCCTGACTTTCCAGGACAGCCAGCTGTTGTCACCTTACCACTGGCCGGTCTACAGGCTAGACAGGATGAAGTCACAACATCAGTTTTCCTTTCTAATTTAAATATTGTAGTACAGTTTTTGTACTTTTAGCAGATGTTAGAATTTAGGTATACCTTGTTCTTTATTTTGATTATACTTCTTCAGGATTTGTAGACAGCGTACCATCAGTTTGTGCTGTTCAATGTGGTATAGCTAGTATAGCTAACAGCTTGAATGTCATACTTGAAAACAATCTTGTATACTGAGTGCCAACCATCCACAATGAAACATACCTAGCACCTTCCTTCCTGACTTATAGCTATTTAATAATGAAATATGGTTTTCTCTCTGATGTGAGATATCAGGAAGAAAAATGCCTAAGTCGGATCACAGCTTGCCATGCAAATGTGAGCCTCAGCAAAATGAGCTGCCTTGTGATTTTAGTTTCCTTTCATAGAACAGAAGTCATTAACATGTGGTTGTTCATCTATTAGTGCACTTTCTACCTGAATCAATGATCACATTGAGAATATGGTTATAGAACAGTTATATTTCCTTTGGTTCAACTTAACAGCCTTGGAAACTTAAAAATAACTTTTCCCAAAGCTATTAAAACTGAGTCCCAGGCAGGTCTATAAAACATAATTTAATCCAGCAATGCATTTAATATAATGATATAATAGATTTCAATACAATTAGCTAAAGGGACAACTGTGCTTTAATACTTAAGTCTTCAAATCCAGCCCTCCTAAGCTAACCTGTATTAACACCCTCCACACACACGTCCCTGTCATACTCACACTGACCATGAGGATTACTGCACATCCAATTTTTTAATCACTATTTTTCCTTTATCTTGACTTTTCGAAATTACAAGTAGAATCATTTGTAAGGTAGGTAAAAAGTTTAGTGCAGTAAAACACTTTTGATAGTTGAATAATACATTTTTTTAGAGAACTTTACATCTGTCCAAACAGAGGGACAAATGAGGAAAAATGCAGGACAGAGGAATTTTGTGGAGGGGTGTAGGTATGCACACACACCCCTTCCCAGCGTACCTTTTTCCTGGTCAGAAATTCTCTGCACCAGCTGTTTACTGAGCCTTCATAGACTTGTATAGGGCTATCCCGGATGCTAAAGCCTTTTCCTGGGATAGTCACATACAAGTCTATGAGGGCTTAGTGCAGAGGAAAAGTAAACCTTGCAAGGAAGCAGTGCTGGAACACACATATAATAGATATGAAAGAAGCGGGTTGCAGAGGGGATACTGCAAGTCAGTTCAGGAGGGGTAGAGTGTACTATTAAAGTACAGTTGTCCTTTAAATACCTAAATTTGACTTAATATCTGCCTTTTGTATTCCCCTGCATTGCAGGATTGAAAATGTGGGGTGGGGGTGAGCATTGTGGGCCATACAAGGGGCATTCTTGCAGTATGAAGGTGCACAGGGGTCACTGAATCCAGGTGCTGCTATTCCATCAGGCTGGGATAGTTCTTGTATTGGCTACAGGGAGATCCAGGACTTGGTTATACTGTTTGGCAGGGATGCTTAGAGTACAAGATTGGATGAACAGAGTTAAAAGTCTTTTGACAGGTGTAACTATTCACATTTTGTGATTCTATCTCTCTGGAGCTTAGTTTTAGGTTTGATGTAACTGGAGGCTAATAGGGGCATGGCGTGGTTAATTTAGCACATCTTAGCAACCTTAATGTTTAGATAACCTTACAATTCCCTGTTGCTGCTGCTAGGATTGTCAGAATTTTGAGTCAACCCTGTCTGACTTCAGTTTGATGTGTATGATGCAGGGAGGAAAACTGACACAGCATGGGAAAAGACCTTCTCTAGACACTCACTAAGGTGTGACTATAAAAAGAGGTGAGTATTATTTTACACGCAGGCATGTCTTACTGTTTCTGTTGAAAAACAGTTTTGGGTGAATGCCTTAGTTTAGGGACAATTTACGCTTTTGTGTTGTGGCAACGCATGTAACATATGTGGTAGTCTTTTAAATGCCACCCCAATGAGAGAATGCTCCTGCATTGCAGCACCTAGTAGAGTGTTACAGTGCGTGGCATAACTGCAAATAGATAATGTCTGATTTTCTAGACGTAGGGTGCATTGGCAGCCCTTTCATTTAAATGGACTGCCTTACTGCTACACGTGACAACACATGTTAAAGAGGAACTTCAACCTATCCATGTCAAATAAAATGTAAAATCACTAACAGTTATCCCTGTATGTAGAAGAAAAACTTACTAGTCCATAGAGTCCAACATTGTCAAAGTTTCCCTTGTTCCCCTCTGCTCCAGCACCGCCACCTTGAACCAAGATCCTGCACATGTGCAGACATGCAGCGGGTCTGTGCCAGGTCCCATAGATCCACTAGAGACCTACAGTGTGTCTGCACTTGCGTGTAAATTTGTACACTGCCTCCTGGATAGACATCCCAGGAGGCAGCAGTGGCCAGATACATCATCCCCCCCAGGCGAGGATTGTGAACATGAGAAAAAAATACTATCTACATTTAAGTTTCCTTTCTTTCTAAATGTAAATGCACCCATAGGTAATCTGTCAGATTTAAAGTAAAGTGGCAATGCTACAGACCAGATTGAAGGACTGTAGAAGTCAGGGTAATCCACAGGGGAAACTCAGTATTTTGACAATGTTGTTTCTGGTTTCAAGTCTTTAGCAGAAAGCTATGTAAATGTTTGGGGGTTTTATGCCCCAAAAACCAGTCAACTTTTAAAGGTAGTTTTGCTCTCTGTTCCTAGAAATGGTTTCCATTTCGAATGTCTCAGTGGATGTAATCAGTAGACTATAAAGTGTATTATCTGTGTCTAACTAGAGGAGTACAGCAGAAAACAGTATAGAGAATAGAATACCTGTAGTCTATGTTGTGTTTAAGCTCGGAGCTTTGCTGAGATGATGCAGTATTTAGTAATGTACTGTAAGTAAAGCAGTGAATATTGGTAGAGGAATCTGTGTCCTGTGCTAATCAGCTATTCAGCTTCCATATTTTACATTATCAGTATTATGGGGATGGTTTGAAATCCATCTCATCTAGTCCTAGAAAATGTTCTGTAAATCATATTGAATTGGTATTTGTTTTGTTTGTCCTTCATGTACCAAGACAACAAATTTTTAGGCTACTCATAAATTAACAAAATCACTCCAAGTGGCTCTTTATGGGTTCATTCTCTTCATATTCTTTATAACCTATCAACTGAAAATTGATACATACTATGCGATCACATCTGTAAACTGCCCAGAATCCTTTACTGCTGTTGATTGATTCCTTTCATATGTCGCAATGGAATGCAACATTTAAATTGTATTGTATTTGTGATGCCCACATGCTACTGGGGCTGATGCTATTGCTCTCTGCCCCCTTTTCTTAAACCACTTACAGCTGTCAGATTCTGCAGTTTGCACTTTAAATGTGCTTAGGTGTGCATTCTCTTAAAGTGTTACTAAACCCAGGACCGTGCATTTGCTATATCTGGTCTGCCACAGTACACACAACATGGAAATGCAATTATTTTATTAACTAAAGACTGCTAAATACCCTTTCTCATCAGCAGTATATAGCTGTCTTGTGACTTCTATCAGTATCCAGCAGAGCACTGGTTAAATCTTGTAGGAGGAGTTTTCATTCTCCCCTGATTTTCCTATGAGGCTGCATAACCCCTGACCCTCTGTCTGGACAGTGCTGATTGGCCCTGTGCTTATCACATGC